TTAAGAGGTATCTGATAGATGCTTAATTCTATCTAGCTATTTGTCCCCAACTACTTACGAGTAACCTCACTCAGTTTACAAGTTCGCTAGTTTTCTAACCTGTCCTAAGCCCAATAAAAGTGGGGAGTTAACGACCCTACTCCACAGAATCAATCCAGTCGCCACAGAGGCTTCTGAGAGCAACAAAAATAATAAAAAAACTTATTTTTTCTCTCGAATCGCAGAGATGAAGTGATACAGGCTGGTGGAAAACTTCGGGAAGCCAGTCAACCGATGTATCGTCCTTCGATGAAAGTAAAAATAAGGATGGGAATGTGAAATGTCCGTACAATGTACGAAACTGGGAAGGCTGCCTAGGTTGCTAATGAAATGAGAAGATATTGCATAGAAGTGCTAGGGATCTGTGGTAGCAGGTGGAATGGATGTAGACTATCAAAACTGCCAACTGGAGAGTCAGTAATCTACTCCAGTCTGGTCGCTCTGACGACAACCACGAGCACACGTAGGCAGTGAGTGGCTATCATGATGTCACCAGTGGCAGCTAAATCCCTAATGCAGCGGGAACCACTCCCCTCTTCCAGGATTATGACAGCAAGGTTCAACTCAAAAGGAAGGTTGCAATTCTCCAATGCTACGCACAGTGCCACAAACAACCCGGAACAAGAGAAGGAAGACATTTACGGACAACTAAAAACAGTAATGGACAACATCCCGAATGGCGACATCAAAATCCTAATAGGCGATATGAATGTCAAACTGGGACCTGATAATACAGGAAGAGAACTCATCATGGGTCAAGAGGCTTTCGGAGAAATGAATGAGAACGAAGAGCACTTCGTAGGCTTCTGCACCTTCAACGAAAGCGGAGGCTCAGCCTGCTAGACACAAAGTCGAGAATGGGAGTAGATGTGAGCTCAGACCATCATCTAGTTCAAGGAGCCTTCAAGCTGGAAGTCTGCAAAGCAACTGTTGACAGACCACAATTCAAGTTCAACACTCAGAAACTGAAAAATGAAACCAATAAGGATAGCTTCATTGTAGATATCAGAGCATATTCGGAGACACTACGTGGTATCACTGAGGAAACCTGTGTGGAAGAACACTGGAACTAACTCTCTGAAGGCGATTTTCAAGGAAATGTGCACACCCATTCTAGGAAGAAAGAAGAGACAAGAAAAGGAATGGCTCTCAACGGACACCTACCCGGAAGCTAATAAAAGAGAGGGGAATGGTGAAAGAGAGGATAACTCAATGCAAAGATGTATAACAGAAGGAGAACCTGAGTTCAATGTACACTGCACTGAATAAAGAAGTGAAGAAGAGTGCTAGGAAAGACTAAAGACATTTCTATGACACACTGGCAACTGAAGCACAGAATAAAAAGTACACTGGCTGCAGAAATTCGAATAGAATAAGCTGGATCCAGGTGAAGAAAACCATGCCTGGGAAGTCGTGTAAGGAGGATAAGGGCGCCAGCTAAAGGAGACCGTAGACAATAGGACAAAGTCTAGATATGCTGTTGAAGCCCTGTGTTCTCGTCAGAACCTAAGGGAATTATAATAAATAAATATTAGTAGTCAATGGGAATTTGAAATTGTCAACTGCTAAATTTTAGTAAATTTACGTTTCGTTTTATGCTGCTTAAGTCTTCAAATGTAATTTTATCCCTGAAATGTTATCGTAATAGTTTCGGATATTCTAAGAGTGGCACCGAATACATCCTTATATGATGCTCACTGCCCGTCAGATGGTTTGTTTATATATTTTTCCAGGCAAATTGAAAAACATTTAACACCTAAACGATTCTCGTTGATATTTTTCAGTGCGCTCACTGAAAATCACATTCTTTAAAAATGTGGTAGTCAGTAATGTGCAAATATCGAATCCAACCAAAAATCATAATGACTTTTATTTTAGTATGAGAAACTGTCTGAACTATAAAAGTTTTACGAATAGAAAAGCGAAGAACTCACTCTAAGACTGGCATTATAAGGTTGTGGAGGTTCACATTTTGACAATCCTAAAACGCGGTAGCGGGATATGTTTCTCGACGAACGTCCTACGTACCTAGCTCTGCAAGAGCAGGTGAACATATAAATACACATGGAATTAGACAATTGAGGTAACATTTCCTAGAAGACGGCTAGAGTAGGTTATTCGTAAAGCGTCAGTAAAGAATGTTTTTCTCAATGATCTCGTCAGAAGATTTTTATGTATTTCACTTGCAGTGTCACCCCTAAATTCTAAGTTTAGGTGCAACACGTTTTTTAGCTACCTTATCAATCTCTGTATTTCTTCCACGTATTATGCTATTGGTCTCTACGGAGTGTAGTGGATACCCGTTCTCTGTGAAGGTTTCTTTTATTTGTTTGAGTTCATTATCAACACTATCTTCACTATAAATTCTGCGCACCCGTGCTGAGAGAGAACCAGCTAGATTCCTCTATCTGTTTATGGGGACAAAACTGGTCAGTTTTCCCGTCTATCAAACTAGCTGATTTATTTTAACCAGATATATTGAATAACAAACATATCCTCATTCAACACAATTATCATAGACATCTGTTGGCATTCATTATACAATAGTTTGAAAATATTTCTTTCTGTATAAACTTTACCTTGGAAACCAGAATCATTCATCATTTTTGATAGATTTGTAGGGATTTTGTTTGATTGGTTGGAGGATTTCATCATGAGCTGACATCAGTTAGAGAAGCATTGAAAAACCTACAGGGAGTACTGGATAGCTGTTTACCCCGTCCTAGTTTGGGACTCTTCAACAGTACGCACCCACCTCCAGGGTTCGAACCCAGGACCTTCTGGTTACAGGGTCAGCGGACTCGTAGACCGTCAAGCCACTGGAACCTGACCCAATGGCCAGTGCATGAATTCCAACTTCTGCCAATTAGCAACATGATGCGACCAAATTAGCAGTGTCTTCGGCGAGTATTTTTGACTTGAATGTTGTTAGTAGCAATAAGCTATACGGTACACGTTACAGCCTGTTCTGACCAACAAGAATTACTGATGAGTGTGTATAATTTCCAATACCAATCAACTACTTATTTCTCCACAGGATTTCATTTTTTGGCTATAAGTGATTCCCACAGTCGCGCACAGACATAGCTAATGATGAAGGTACTCACTTTACTTTATTCCCATAGAAGAAAACTTTTCAGTCTATCCTAGTTTTCATCAAGCGATCAAAATAAATTAGCTCTCAGCCTGTCTGAAGTTTACCAGTGGGAAATATTGAATGCTACGGAGAGTATTTAACATAGTTGTATCTCATAAATTCATATATATTCCTATGATAAGTCCGGGTGTGATCAGATTCTTCGAAATTTGTTGCTCAAATACATTATACGATTCAGAGAAATTACGTCTTCTTATTGCTTTGTCTAAATTCGTAAAAGAGTATAATTTATAATACTGGAAAGGTTTTAACTAAGCATCAGCTTGGAATATTTAAGTTGTTTATATAAGAGCTTACAAACATTGATTGAGTACGTTCATAAGCGAACCTGAAGAGATGAATGACAAGAACTGGTCAAAATAATCTTGTAAACTTAAATGCTACACAGTACATACTTAGATGTTCTCAGGAATTTAAATATGAAAACACGAAAATTTATTCATTGGAGAAACATTTCTTTTCAAGGGCGTCATTTCTGAAGCATTACAGTTATGTTGCGTCAAAAGGCAATTAAGGGCACTAAAAATAGAAATAGAAATATTTAAAGTGATTTTAAGGGATTATCATTATTTTTCAAGTATCGACCTTGTAGGGATTTCGTTTGATTGATTGGAGGATTTCGTCATGAGTTGAGATCAGTTAGGGAACCATTGGGAAACCTGCAGGGAGTACTGGACAGATGTTTCCCCGTCCTAGTTTGGGAATCTTCAACAGTACGCACCCACCACCAGGGTTTGAACCCAGGATGTTATGGTTACAACGTGAGCTTCCGTGGGCATCTAGTGAAACATGGAATATTCAGCAGCATGACTCTCTCCTCTTTCTCTGACTCCGTGACTGTTCATAGGCTTTCATTTCCTCTTCACAGGATCTCCTCCATATCACCCTCGGATACCCAGCTCACAGTTTCCCATTCAGATACCATTTCAGAGCTGGCCTAGTGCGTGATGTCGCTCAGCGGTTTTCTTCAGCGTATATCTAATCCACTTCCTTGTTCTTATCTATTAGTCAGCTGGATTTCGGTTGGTCCGTTACCAGAGTTTCTTGTTGTTTTTCCTTTCTGACCATCGAATGTCCAGCTATTGATAAAAGTCTGAGGTTTGTTCGAATGCTATTAGTGATAATGCTAACTCTCTGAACCGTACAGAGGAACTGAGCGCGGTAGATTTCCGCCCTGATTTCAGAGTAGTAAAGGTTTGTAGTCTTCTAGTGTATTCATGTCTCTATATACTACTGAATGGCTCAGATGAGTAGTTAGACACCAATTTCATCAGCCAGATAAAAGTGATAGCCGTTTCGCTAGTTTGCAGCTCAGCTCATAAGCGATTTATCCGGTTTGATTCAGTTCACAGGGCTGAACCAGTTTAAAACACCTGAACTGTGGCTAGCTACTTGGATGAACTAGCGTTACATCAGATCAAATCTGCCTTGCTGCAAATTCATTCACGATTTGCAATTTGAACAATTCAACGTGGAATTTCACCACAATTTCCATAGGCAAATCGAAACTCTTAATATGGTTAATAGAAAATCGCCTACTTCAAGCACAAGTTGTTGTTATTAAGGTTGAAGAGATCTGAAAACTTTCATTAGAAGAATTCCTCGACTGACTCAGCTTAAGGATAGCGAATAACTTTACTCCGATCTGATTGGCACGTCTAGTTTCTCCTACCTCTCATGACAGCCAGTAGTAGGATATACCATCTTGTATCAGTATGTATTTACACATTTTTTGACTACCAATCGTCACTTTATTATTCGCTTCGTATAATACCCAAGTATAAGTATTGACACACAGATAATATGTGTATGTGGGTAAGGCTTATTTTAAGTGAGCATTTATATAAACGTTAAGTGTTTTCAATTTGCTATCAAGGTGATATTTTCTCATCATCACTTACACCACATGATTTGTCAACTATGTGATTGGTAAATTTCTAGGTCGAATAATATTTTTTTGTCCACTCAGAATAGCACGAATGCGAAATATTCATTAAATATCTACACAAACACATTGGTATACAGAAATTCGGTGCCGAAACCACTTGTTCTTGTTGTTGTTTGTTTTGTTTCTCGTCTCTCTCTCTTTTTGAATAGTTCGATATCTTTTTTATCTGCTTCTTGAGTGTTAATTCAACTGGTGTGGAATAACTCGTCGTACAACAATAAATTGATTTCTCAAAGGGAATTCCAATCATTTCAGAAACAGGTAATTTTAATTTTTGATGCATTAATGTAAATATTGTCCCATTTACTTATCAGAGTAGATCAACAATATACAGTAACTACTGTTAAAGTAAAAGAAGAAATTATAATTCTTAAACTGACGGAATACTTGAAATTGCAATGCGTACCGGTCAAGGCAAAGAAGTCATATCTATGCGTGTCATGATTCGCAAATATGTGAAGTTGGATCCCGATGATGAATTCAGTTCAGCTACATTGATTAAAAGACACGGGGAACAATTAAAAAATAAGCATAAATCATCAAAATGGTGTCGGCTGCATATAACAAATGATGAATTATGGTTATCTGGGGGTTATTGGTGGCCTAATTCAATCCTTAACGGGATACATTTAAGTGAAATCAACTGTCTAGTAACATTCTATTCTACACCAAATCTTTTAGCCTTAGGCATTGCTTCACGTTTATATGATTCAGAAAAGGAGTATGTCCTACTCTGTACAAAAAGTGGTACAGATAGAGATCACCTGGTGAAAACACTAACAACTCTTTGTGGAAATCGATATAAACAAACGGAAAAGAAATTCAATATACCAATTGTTGGACCACCTGTGAATATTGTTGAAATCTCATTATCACCAGAAATAAAACATTCATTGAATTCAGAAAGATCAGTTGACACCATTCAAGACTCCTGTTCACATTCAACTACATGTAATCATCATTCAGATGTTTGCGGACAAGAGACAATAGTTAACATTGAAAAGCCTATTTCATCAGTTTATATTCAACCATCCACGACAACATTTGAAAATACTACTAAAACTACAGTTGATGAAAGTATCAGTGTGGATATGTGTTGTAATGATGATCAATCGTTTACAAAACTATCCTTACAAAAACCTCAACATGAAATTCAATGGAAGTCAACAGAAAGTGTAAGACCGTGTCGATTGAAACGTTTTCTCTCACCGTATTATGAAGGACTTGAGTCTGGTTTAAATCCAAAAGATTTAATACATGTTTATTATGATCCAAAACAAGGAAATGTTATCACACAAGATGGACCTATATACTTATACTGTGTCAATTGTCCTAGTGAGTGAATGAATAATACGGAAGAACAAGAACAAGAATAATGTATGCTTATGATTACTACTCACATTATTATTATTATTATTGTTTATTGACTCTTGTCATAATATTGACTATCGATAACACTTAGAAGATTCATATAAACTATTTACATTGTCATATTTCTATCCAACTCTACAGTTGTTGTTGTCGTTGCTTGTCACTATGGTAACAATGGTTTACCTGAAACCGTTTATTTATTTACTTCTGTGTTACATAACTGTGTAATCTCCCGAGTTTGAATAGACTAGAAACTACAACAACAAAAAGTGTTTTATGATGTAAAATAGGATGTATTTATACCTTTATTACTACTATTATTATTATTCAGAAATATTATGGGGTAGTGAAAATAGTCCATTCCATACTTTCTCTTCCTCATCTTCTTCCATTTTCTCGTTTATTTCAACAACAAAAAAGAATTTAGGCATATCTGCACATATTTGTTTTCGTATATTAACAGGCGTATCTGTAAACTGTTCATTATGATAATTTTATGTTACTTTATTGTCGACTTGAATTCTCTATATCGTTGGCGTGGGGGACGGGTGGTGACTAAATACTGGAACGAATGAACTGTCTATTTGTAAATCGACTGTACCGGCTTGCAATCTTGAGGCTGTTAAGGTTTCTTAGCCGAAGATATTGTATTTGGAATTAGTGGTGTTCTCTGAGTGGGTTGGCGATTCAACTGCGAAGCTTTCGTCGTCCTTCGCCTAGATAACATCTTAAGCATAAGTCTTAGCATAACATGAACCCATTTAAGTTCTCCATGAATGATAGAATTCCACCTTCTGGTAACCATTTTCGTGACTGGTAGTCGATTTACATCTGTACTGATCATTTTTTTATTGACTTGGAATTTGAACTTTCTCGTCACATGATTTACTTTTAATTAGTTGGTAGATTTGATCTATTTTAATATGTTTGTTAATCGCATATTCGTTTGAGTACTAGGCTTCTAGGAATTCTCTGACTGCAGTTTTGGTGTTTCTTCTATTTAAAATCTCTACATTATCCCAGTCATCAAATTGGTGTCCATAATTATCTACATGCATTGATATGAAACAATATATATCATGTCTTTTTATAGCTAATTTGTATTCTTGAATTCAGATTCGAAGGGGACACCCACTTTGACCCATGTATAGTGTCTGTTACAGTTCATAGAATTTATTTTGTGATTGGTATTAATTTTATCTTCTTTTTCTGTTGGATCTTTCGGTTTGGCCAATATCGAATTTGGTGATTGTGTTGGCGGGCTAGCTTCTGTGCTATATCTATTTCAAACGGTGTTAATATTCTAGCTGTTTTTTCAGAGATATTTTTTATACATGGTAGAATGAATTTTCATATAGTCTTTGATGATGGCTTCTTGTTGGTGTTGTGACTCAATTTTAAACACTTTTTGATGAAATTGTGAAGATATCCATTCTTTTTGAAGGGCGGTTAGTAGGTATTGTACCTCCATTCTCTTCAACACAGGAGTGCTACAGTGTATCTGCACAAACTTTCTTTTGTGGGTAATTGAGTTATTACTACCATAGTTGAGTATTTGAACTGTGTGCGTTGATCTTCTATATACTTGTGTATGCTGTTTGCTTATACTATTATTTCAGCATTCTAGCTGCCTTCTACAGAGAAAGATGTGCGCTAAACGTTCGCCTCTATTAATCTAAGAGAATAAACTCGCTACCAATGGTGAAGTGTCATTCACTGACTGTTAGATAACACGTACACGCAGAGTAATGCAATTTCACTTATTAGTAAGCCTTGAGAGGAGAATTTATGGCCTATTATCGTTTAAAAGATAATAAACTGTGGTCAACAAGTCATATTTTTATTATTCCTATAGATTCCGAGTGGAACACAGGAATTCAACAGTATATCTCCATTTCATCCTGTTCTGTGCAGTCGGTTTTAGTTGACTCCAAGAATGTCGATAAACTGTCACACACACGATTTCCTCCATGTCACCGTCAAACACCTAACTCATAATTTCCCATTCAGGTTCCGCCAGAAGGTTGGCCTGGAGAGTGATATCACTGAACGGTATGCTCAACCAATGTCCGGTCCACCTCCATGCTCTCCAACATATTTTTTATGCCATAGGTTCTTGGTTGGCTTGTTCCCAGGGTACCATGTTGCCAATTCAATTCGATAAGTGTACCACTCAGCGTCGTATAGTACAGAAATAAAGTCATTTAAAATAATATTTAGTCCCGCTTTTGTTTTAAGCCTTCTTTAAACGCGTCTCTTTCAATATGGTTCCTTGGACCACTTCAAAGATGCAGAATATGTCTTTTTAAGTCTACTTTTTGACATGCATTATGGTGGGAGGTTCATTTGTGATCGTATTTTTTAAAGAGAATGGAACAAATTGTTCCCCTTATCACCTTCGACAGAACAATAAGATATGATTTATTTGAATCTTTAAATATGTATATGCTCATCACATCTAGAGCAATCTGACCACATACAAAGTAGCCATAGGAATTTGTATAAAAAGGTAAAGCCTTAAAGGGTGATAGACAGAACATGGATCAATTTGAAAAGCTATACTGTATGTCAAAATAACAACCAAGATCAATAAACTAAAGAAGCCGGAATAATAGTAGATTAACGTTTGCTTCAAAACAGAATGCTCATATGAGTCTACCATAAACTTTAGATTGTCCCCCTAAAGGTATTATAGAAAGGTTTAATAGACTTATCAGGGCGGTTATATTGGCATATCGCTTTTTTAAAGTAACTCCACCTGCTTTATCCGTAGGGTATTAGAGCATTTTAATAAATAGACCAAATATACTGCCTTCCTTTAATCCATTATATTGACCAGTTATAAGTATCAAGTGATATTTTCTGTTACAAATGCAGCAAGTGTAATGCAGTTCACAAGTACTTTACGCCACCGATATTACGTACTTTAGAAAAATAAATTTTTTAGTGGAAAATTTCATTTAGAAAGTATATAAAAATAGAACTTGTTATTAAACCACCATAGTGACGGACTACGACGCTACAATTAGTGGGGATAGGCAACAAAGTCACTCGACGACATACAGACATTTTTTTATGCCTTTTTTCAATATTGTAGTTTTCAGTTGAGGAGATTGGCGGTTTATTCCCATCATTAACTGTTTCTGGCATCTTACTCTATTTCTGAAGTCGCATAGGGATATGCTCTGTAGACCTCGCTTGCACAGATCGATGCGTCCTCCTTATGTATGTTTCATCATGCAGTCATTTAAAATGATAAATATACAATGAAATTTCAGTTTATCATTCACTTCTCTAAGGGCTTAAAAGGATATACGGGGCTCACGTTCTTACTGATCTGGATTTTGATTGTATAAAATGTCTTAGAGTTTTCAGGGTTAAGTTATCAAGCCACCTTACGTAGGTGATGACAGTAGCTTAGTACTTAAAGACTGAACATGATTGTAAAGACAAGAGACGCAAACTAAAGGAAATTAATAAATTAAGCAGGTTCTCGTTATTTATTTATTCCTTAAAAGACAGTAGCAATAACCTTTCACTACACGGATGGAGATATAAGAAAATATGGTTAATACTTTCAGTTCTTCCAAGGTCCTGAGTTCAAGTGTTGGTTTGTAGGGATTTGATTGGTTACAGGATTTTCATCATGAGCTGACATTAGTTAGAGAACCATTGGAAAACCTGGGAGTACTGGACGGCTGTTTCGTCCTAGTTTAGAACCCTTCAGCAGTACGCACCCACCGGGATTCGAACCCAGGACCTTCTGGTTACAAGGCGAGCTAGCTCGTAGACCATTAAGCCACTAGGACCCAATCCAATGGTCCATGAATCCTAACTTCTGCCAATTCACGACATAGCGCGACCCCTAGCCAATGTCTTCGGCGAGTATTTGTCCTCACACCCGACCTGCTGCACCCTACTGGTCACGACTTCTCACTAGAACCCCAGGTAACTACCTACCTGAATAGGGCAAGTCGCTAGTGAGCTTAATGGTATACGAGCTTGCCTTGTAACCAGAAGGTCCTGGGTTCGAATCCCGGTGGGTGCGTACTGCTGAAGGGTTCTAAACTAGGACGAAACAGCCGTCCAGTACTCCCAGGTTTTCCAATGGTTCTCTAACTAACGTCAGCTCATGATGAAAATCCTGTAACCAATCAAATCCCTACAAACCAACACTTGAACTTCGTATATATGTTGGACGTTATAGCTTAGCCGTAAAGTTTATATATATTTGTATATATATTTATATATATTTGATCGGAGTCTCATGAATACCTGGCTTGATAACTCTATTTGGATTCCCTTGTCCGCAAGCACAGTTTGTACAATTCTGATGTCCTATCAACACCAGTAGCGAGTATTCGATACTAGTGGCGAAGCAGGCCTGATTTCAAAAAACACATACAACACGCGTTAATTTTTTAAAGTATTTCTCAAGAGCTATTCATGTGTTCATCATTTCATATAACATTTTTTTTGGTGAAGTGAACGTGTAAGTTGACTATCGGACTGATAGGATTTATGAAACACAAAATTGGTCTTCTTTTATACCTTTACCCCTTCCCAATGGAACATTGGGCTTCAAGCTTGAGGCTTGAAGTTTCGGTAGCAGTGATGTTTATTTTTATGGGTTGGGGTTGCTAGCCTCACGTCCAACCTTCCTTCCTACCGGTTTAGCTAGGTTTAGGAGTTCATCGGCAGTAGGTCGAACCCCAAACCACATGAGGCATGGTTGGCGAGCATCCTGCTGTTGTGCCACTGATGGTTTTAGTCTGATCTAAAAATGATTTAACTCACTGAGTAAGTTTAAGTGAAATATTTCAAACACATCAGAAAAAAACATTACGACTGTATAACCCTAACAGGTCAAATGGTCGCTAACCATGTGGGAGGCCCAGATTTTATTCCCGGCGTACAACTCCTAAACCTTGTCGAGTTTACCAGGCGGCAGTTACCTCGGAGAAAGCAAGAAGGTTGAGCGTGATACTAGCAAACTCACCCGTTAAAAACAGCAACTTTGAAGCTTTAGGTCTTCTGCTCCTGAAGGAATGAAGACAACTCTATGCTTGAAGTTACTCATAAAGACTCATGTGAAAGAATTTAAAATTTAAGTAATGACCGTAGTATGACTAAAAAGAAATTTAAACAAAGAAAGGAAGACGAAATTTTAAGTATAAAAAATGGTATCATTCTATTTCACAGGTCCTCATCAGCTGCAGACTACATGAAATTAAAATGGTTACATAGATGATAATAATAACGTACATTACTGTTTAAGTGGTAGTAGAGAAGAAATAATATAAAATTGACGCATCCAAAATGAAAGCATTACAATCTTTAGTTT